TTGCCTTCTTTTTTGATGGGGAATGCAAATGGTGCCATTCCATACTCTGTTGTTTTGTTTCAGGCTCAAAATGGTGAAACCAGCTTTTGTCACCTGTCACAATACAGAGCAAAAAATCGTCGCCTTTGTGTCGATATCTCTACAGCAGTTCTGAGGTGATGGCTTTTCGCTGACCTTTGTGGTCTTCGGTCAATAATCACGGAACCCAACGAGCACAAACTTTCGTATAGCCCAAGCTTTCAATCATCTCCTGTACTGCAATGTGCCCTATTCCAAGTTTTCAGGCTATTGTGTCCACAGTCACACACCTGTCATCTTGAATGATCTCATCCACTCTTTCCTTGTTGTGTTCAGTTGAGGCTGTTCGAGGAAGACCGTTCCGAGGTTCATCTTTGATGCTGGTGCTCCCATCTTTAAAATGTTTCACCCATCTTCAAACACTGCTCGCACCCATACACACACTTCCATAAGCACACTGAAGTCTCTGGTGAATTTCTGCAGCAGGGATTTCCGCCTTCACAAGAAATTCGATGACAGCATGCTGGTGAAACGACATATCGTTGTCGGCCATTTTGTTAGGAGTGATACTGGTCACATGATGCAAGCTATTGACGTCACAAGACACTCAATGTTAACACAACAGTTGGTTCCACCTAGCACCTTACACTCTTTTTGTCTGCTGTTCCCAGGTTGCATGCAAAAAAAGTTCCTCATGACTTTCGGTATGACCTACGTACAGGGTGGGCGCAGAAACTTCCTTTTTGTGAAGACGCATTGTGAAGGGAGTGGAGGTCACAGAAAAGTGGGGATAGGCTCGGCGAACGCAGCAGTCGTGGAAGTTTCTATGTAATATCCCTCAGTAGGAAACATGAGGTGGACGAGTGAGCAGCGTGCGTTTGCTGTTGAAGCCTATTTTTCAAACAACAATTCCTACGTGGCGGTGCTGCATGCGTTCCATACTCACTTTGGAATTAAGCCCAGAGGTCCGATTCCTGACCGGAAATCGATTGTTTTGTGTGTAGAGAAATTTAGGACAACCGGGAGTGTGGTGAAAAAATCATCAGGACGACAACAGACTGTTACGACGCCAGAAAATGTGGAGGCAGTTCGACAGTCGATTTTGAGAACTCGAAGACACTCCGCTTGCAAACATGTAGTCGCCCTAGACATATCCAGTCATTCAATGGGCCGAATTGTTCACGAACATCTTAATTTCCATCCCTATAAGATGGTTGTTGTACAAGAATTATCACCATGTGATTTCCAGAACTGAATAACGGCGTGCAAAACGTTATTGGAAACTTTACCCCCTGATGCACTGTTTTCTTTAGTGATGAGGCACATTTTCACCTATCCAGATATGTCAACAAGCAGAATATGCACTATTGGAGTGGTAACAATCCCAGAGAGCTCCATGAGAGGCCACTTCACAGTGAAAAGGTGACAGTATGGTGTGCGTTGTCAAGAGTTGGAGTTATGGGCCCTTAATTTTTTGAAGAAGACAATCATGCAGTTACTGTCAATTCACAGCGGTATGTGGACATGATTATAAACTTTTTCGAACCAGCTCTTGAATATATGCATCTAGGAAATGTCTGGTTCCAACAGGATGGTGCCACGGCTCATCTCACTTCAAGGTGACATCCCGTGGGCAGTGCACTCACCTGATCTAACGCCCTGATTTTTTTTATGGGGATACCTCAAGGCAGAGGTTTTTAAACATCGTCCCCAAAACCTGCTTCAGCTGAAGAATGTTATTCAGCAGGAAGTAGCCCAAATTTCAGTGCACATGTTGGAATGTGCAGAAGGGAACTTCAGAAAACGGTTGCATCAGTGCAGAGAGAACGGTGGCCACCACCTTTAAGATATTTTGTTTACGACTACATGATTTAAAACTTTAAAGTATGTTCTTTCATTAGCTAAACATAAATTTTGTCTATCAGCAATAATTTTTCTTTTATTCGCCTTCAAAAAAAGGAAGTTTCTGTGCCCCACTCTGTACATTGCAGGATTTGTATATGACATTATTATTACATAATTTTTAAGGTTACTAATTCTAATCCTTCAGCTGCACTATGTCCCTGAGGTTGACTCAGCATCTAACACAAATGAGTACCAGCCCACTGTCTAGAAGATGTGGGAGCCTCAACCTCTCACACCTCTATGGGCCTTCATGGCTTTTTATTTTTTACAAGTACATTTTGGTAAGGTAATAAGAAATGGGAAGTACATTTGAAATGTGGTGAGCAGCTGAAGTTACTATGAATGTAATTGACTGTGTGTTTGCATAGGATGCCTCCACCAGAACTACCAACATGGCAAGATTGTCATGAGTTATGGAGTAAAAAGCGCCGTCGTCAATTGAAGGAACAGCAGGAATCTCTTCAGAACCTGCCTCCAGGCAAACCTACATTGCTTAAAGACAAGTCAATTTCTAACAAAGTGTTCGACGAAGGATTGGACATTGGCGGGTGAGTACAGTATTTACTGTAGACAAGTATAATGTGAATCTCCCACAACCCATCTCATACTGGACACAAGGAACATTCACGTACAGATATCCACTGCTTGTTACGCCTTGGCATTGTATGTCAGAGTATTAACATTAAGTTTTTCTTTCTATTCCATATAAAGTGAATGCTACATATGCACATAAGCCATTTTGACTTTCATTTTGTAATAAGTTCATTAATTTCAGTGATCTCCCAAGTATTTGCTTGCAAAATAATATTAGGAATGAGCATTATATTTCAGGAAGAGAACATTTTCTATAATATATTTTACATGGCATTTTGTAAGACAAACAGGGATGTAAAATGTGCCCACACTAAATGATTATGAAAACTCAAGCAGCTATTCCATAAGTTAACTCTTCAATATTGAAATGTCTGTATATTTAACAGTATAACATAATACAGCAGAGTACAAAGTTTAGCAGAAAAATATGAAGGTTAGAGAGGAAAATCAGTCGGATTAATTTTCTGTGGGGTTTCATTAGTATGTTAACACATCTGAATGAATATTCCTGATTAAATGTAAAAAAGCTTTGTCGTAACAAGTATAGATGGACTACAGCTCTGGGTTTTATGTTAGAAAGTAGCAGAATGTAACTGATTCCTAATGTAGGAATATAAAGTATTTCTGTGAAGAAAATCTGAATGTTGATACAGAGAATAGAATATGCCTTTCATATAAGCAACTTGGAAATTTCTATTTCATTTGCTGTGCCTTGATATTAATCACAAGGGTATCGGAAAAGTTCTTTTTAACCATATATTGGATTGCAATCATATTGGACACATCAAAATATTATGCCTTGATTTTTCAGAATAGTTATAAAGAGTGAATTGGTTATGTGGCAGGGTACTTGCTAGGGAAGACTGTTTTTTCCAACTTTTCTAGGCTGAAATTTTAAAAGTTGGCACAAACTTCGCTGACAAGCGGCGGTCACTCGGTCGATATAGTTCGCTTGCGGACTAAAATCACGGATTTTTTTTTTGTTTCTTTTCATTGTAAAAGTATTGAAGGCCCCCCCCCCCCTAAATGTAACTTTTATTGCTTCAATGGAGAAGGTCCTGACTACCTTACACATTATTCACATCGAATGTCTTTTCAAGTGATAAATTCATAGATTCTTTTCATAAATCTCACATCCCATGATTACAGTAAGTTGTTAAGGTTGTCAGTTGTAGTGCCAGTGGTGTTCATTTGTATTAATGAAACTAGCAGTTACATCTGCCATGCAGTCTCTAGGCCACTTTTTATTTTTCGATGTTCATTGAATGCTACATGTGTAATAGCATATTTTCTTGAATACCCCACTCACTCACGGAGCCGAGCCCTTTTTGAGAAGCTGCCAATTGTGCAGCTACTCAAGAGGTTCCCAGCATTTTATGAAACCCGAAGTTCATTACTGTGTTCACAAGTACTCTCCACAGTCCCTACCCTGAGCCAGATTGATCCAGTCCATACCATACCATGCCATCCTCTCTCTCTCTCTAGAATTCATTTTAATATTGCCCACCCACATGCATCTTTGTCTTCCTAGTGGTCTCTTTCCTTTTGACTTGCTCACCAATATCCTATATGCATTCCTTTTAACCCCCATTCATGCTACATCCCCTTCCCATCTCATCCTCCTTGACTTGATCATTTGACTTGGCAAAGAGTACAAATTGTGAAGCTCCTCATTATGCAGTTTTCTCCAACCGTCCATCAATTCATCTCTCTTTGATCCGAATATTCTCAACACCCTGTTCTTCAACACCCTCCATCTCTGTTCCTCCCCCCCTTTTTTTTCTTTTATTGCTAGTAGGGTGGGGCTAAGTCCATTGTACTGCTGCCACTTCTGATCTATTGTACCAGCCCCAGATGATAGGTGAGGGTGATTGTGGAGCAAATGGTGGAATGAAGATTGGGAAGGGAAACTGAAGTACTCAGAGAAAACCTGCGCCAGCGCCACTTTGTCCACCATAAATCCCACTTGACCAGACTTGGGATTGAACCTGGGCTGCTGTGATGGGAAACCAGCGACTAACCACTTGAGCTATGGCACAGCCTCTGTCCTTCCCTTTATGTCAGAGACCAAGTTTCACAACCATACAAAGCCACGGGCAAAATTAATTTTTGTATATTCTAACTTGAATGCCCCAAACCCTTGAATAAGCTGCACATTCAACTTTTTAAGAAATATAAAATAGTGTGTGTTCATATTAATTTTTAGACACATTGAAATATACAGGTGGTCCAGATGAAACATATCCAAAATAAAATAATTATATCTCACATTTATGGGTACACCAATAGAAAAGGAAACTATCAGAAGTTTTTTTTTTTGAGTATATAACTTTCTCAATAAATTCCAATGTGGACTCCCTTGGTGGCACGACAAATATCCAGATGATATTTGACCTCATTCACATTGCTTCAAGCATGTTTGGTGTTACCATAGCCACGGTGCCCCTTATTTGTCTTAACCTGGTAGACAATGTTCTTCACTTAACTCTAAAAGAAAAAATCCAGTGGGGTTATATCTGGCAACATAGGAGGCCAAGTGATTGGTCCACCTCTGCCAATCCATCTCCCAGTCATCTCTCTGTCAAGGTGATACCTGACATGGCTGAAATGTGGCACCCTTTCTTATTGGAGGATAGTTCAAGATGATAATTGGGGTAGTGCATACAGCTCCAGCATGTCCAAGTATGAATGTCCGGCCACAGCCATTTCTGAAAAGAAAATGGTCCAGTCAACTTGTCGTGCATTAAGCCGTCCCACATGGCTCACTTTGGAGCTACCTCTCTCCAACTCACATGTGACATGTGGATTTTGACTGTCTCAAATCCTTCAGTTTTACCTGTTTACACCTCCATTGATATGGAGCGTCACCTCTTCCAGGAAGCACACTTGGCGGAGGAAATCGGATGACACGTCAGTTCTTTCTAGCATGTCCACAGCGAAGTTTGTGTGTGCTCTTTGGTCACTCGGTTTTAGTGCATGAATCATTTGAATCTTGTGCGGTCTTAGGCAGAGCCTTTTATATAGCACATTATGCACTGTTGAACGTGGAATTTGTAACCGCAAGCTAGCAGCATGAATTGTTGATTTGCGCAGACTTCTCTGGAATGTTCTCTAATGCAATTGACATTTTCTTGAGAGGTCCATGTCTTTCTGGGCAATTATACATGCAACAGACTACCTGCAGTCCTCAGTTTGTTGTCCCAGATCCGAATGCTTTTCCATATAGCAGGTTGACGTCCATATTGCATTCTAAAACGATGCTGGACAACTGTTAAGAGATTGTGACTCTGCTAGCCACAACACGCATTGAACCTGTTCCTGTGGTGTCATCGTTACTGAGCTCACTGAAGGTCACCATCTGGTGTATGCATGTAAGCCAGGCATGAAAGAAAGCATACAGAGTTTTCCTTTCCGATGACATAAACCAGAAATGTATATGACAGTTTCCGAGATATAAATTTTTTATTTTGGGTACAGTTTTAATTAGTATATGAAAAGAACAAAAAAAATAATTTTTAACATAAGAGATATGGTGTGTCTCTTTCTTTCCTCCATTGCAAATTCTTCACAGATCACATTTATTTTCATGGTGTTTGATCCATGTACCACCATTTCACTTGCGTTCAGTTTAGTACATCGTTCACATTACTGACACAAATAAAGTTACCCTTTGCTCCTGTAAGGGTACATAGCTGGTGTAATTTTTTTAAGCATTCTTTGTGTATACACATTTTGTAAGCCTTTTGCTGTTTATTTTTGAATGAAGGTGTAGGGCTTGCTTGTAACATTATTGTAAGCAGCAATATTTGGCCCTGTTGAATCCAGGCAACTGCTTTATGGTCACAGTCTGCATGCGTCCACTTCATGAACTCTGTAGAGAAGTTGTGTTACTTAACTGTGTAATATGCATTGCAGTTCATGTAATGGTTTAGTTTTAAAATGTTATATTTACTAATATGATAGGACTTTGCATAGTTTACTGATTTTCCTCTTGTTTTTCTTGATTTGAATGTCAAGGATTAATGTAAACGTTCTCTTATATACATTCTTCTTTCAGTTTTTGTTAAGTTCACTCTCTTTTAGTTCTACTTTATTATTATTTTTGATTGAGAAACTGAGAATCTATTGGCTAATTACTTGCAGATCTCCCAACTGCACCCCTTCGAAGCAGACCTTGTGTGAAAGGTAATTGTTGAAGAATTTTTTCTTTCAAATTCAAGAACTGTGTCATTGGGTACTTGCCTGGAAATGGTGCAGGGGATTTTGAATGTACTGTGTGTAAATGTTTTGTCATAACATACTAAGTAGCTTTTTCAGGGTCAGGGGGTTGTGTTTTGAATTACAGAAATAAGCTCTCTCAGTAATATACTTGAGGTACTGGTTGTTTTGCTTATTTGATTTCCCCCCTTCCCCTTTCTTTTTGGCGAAAGTATTCCTTATGTCTTTGCACTAGGATGCGTGTAGTGTTCTGGCTGTATCAGATATTGAACTGAGATTTGATACTTCAGTAGTGGGGATACAGTAAAGCATTATAATGATATGTTTGCTACTCTGAGAGCTCAAGATTCTGTAAGGAGACTACATTAAATTCCAGTATAGAGTAGGACCCTTTGGCAGTAAATAAATAAAATTTTGCTAGCTTTCATAAATGACAGTATGTTATAACATCATTTTTCAGCATATAGAGAGATGAGCAACACTGTAAGACACTGAAAATATTCCAGACAGATGTTAAAAATGCTATCTGAAAATTTCAAGCCATGTTTTAGCCATGATCACAAAGTGTCTGCTTTCTCAGCAAGAGTTTTTATCTTTAGAAGTGTGATTTTAATGCAGTTCATCTACTAGAATGGCCTGCCTCAAATGTCTGAGGGAATTTAATTATGTCTCCTGATGATTGTCTTTCATAACTGAAATTTTTGTGCTCTTCATCAGTTCCTCCACATGATTGGTAGGATAATGTAGTATATCAGAATAAGCTGTGGTATTTTCATGTTTTATCCAGTCAACATCAGTGAGCACATTCACATCCCATTCAACACTACATAACCTCTACAAAGAATGCCTATCCTCCGCTCACATGGACAGTTTCACAGTCTCTTATTCCGTTTATGTTACTTTTGTGGGACTGTCTTCTCTGATTTCTTAAAGGTGGAGAACTGCAGGATAGTTTCAAAATGTAATTTATATGCAAATGTTTTTAAATAGGAATGCTGTTTAACGATAAAGTAATACGGTGATTGTTAAGAAAGACAAGTGTGATATAGGAATTGGGAAGGAGCAGTTGAAACCTACTTTAAGTTGCTCATCCAGGTCCAACCTGGAGGGACTGAGAAAAACTGTGAAACCATCAGAATATCTGATAGTAAAAGGTTTCAGCTGAGTATCTTTAGCATGTGATACAAAGGTGTCTTACTCATTTTGCAGCAATGTTCTGTGTAAGATGGAGATAGGCTGCGCCATAGCTCAAGCGGTTAGTTGCTGGCTTCCCACTGTGGTGGCCCGGGTTCGATCCTGGGTCTGGTCAAGTGGGATTTATGGTGAACAAAGTGGCGCTGGGGCAGGTTTTCTCCGAGTACTTCGGTTTGCCCTGCCAATCTTCATTCCACCAATTGCTCCACAATCACCCTCACCTATCATCTGGGGCTGGTACAATAGGCCAGAAGTGGCCGCAGTACAAGGGACTTAGTCCCACCCCACTAGCAATAAAAAAAGATGGAGATACATTTTAGAGACTTAACCTGCATGAATTATTGACATTTCCACATTATTAACCATACATATGCAGAGTAAAAAATGGATCAATTTGGTATCATTTGGTCCTGTATCCTAATGGAAGAATGTGGTTTGAGGGTGCTGATGAGAATGGTTGGATGTAGGGGAGAAGAAGTAACAGAAGGAAGGAAGTTGAATAATGAGAGACGTCATACTTTGTACTCTTCACCAAATATTATTATGATGACCAAATTGAGGAAGATGAAATAGGTGGGGCATGTAGGACACTTGAGAGAGATGAGAGATTAATACAACATTTTGGTTGGAAGATATGAAAGGAAGAGGCCACTTGGGAGAGACATAGGTTGGAGGATGCTCTTAAAATGGATCTTACAGATATGCTGTGTGTACTAGATGTATCTGAATAGGGGCTCTGTGAACACAGTAATGAACCATAAGTGTGGGAAATTTCTTGACTGCATGGCTGCTAGCTTCATAAAAGCTTTTCTCTGTTGAGTATATTTGCTTGATATGCTTGGGTTGTTGTATACCTTAGATCGTGGGTTACAATCATATCTGGTGAAGCACATGGGCCTGCCTCTGAATTTTATGGTTTTCATATTCTCCTCTCAAAATTTTGGTGATAAACTTGAAACAGAGTAACCCTCCTTGCTTCCAAACATCAAAGGAACATCAGCGTCAGTAATATTGGAGTGGATATGAAAAGCTTGGAAAGAAGTTCCAGTCTGTATTATTCCAAAATCGTTTTTAAAGTGCTGTTTGTCTAATGCTGAAGATGGAATGCAATATGGCATTCTTTGGGACGTCATTGAACAAAATGGTGAGGGTGCATCATATTTAGAAAATGTGAGTGCAACAGAAGATCATTGTATGAAATTTCTGATTAAATGAGAAAGACGGAAAGGAATGTGCCTTTAATAACAGTTTTAAATTTCCATTTTGTATGTTTTCCATTACTTTTCACTTTAAAAGGAGCAGGTATAGTATAATTGGTATAGTGACTGGCTACAGGCTGGCTGTGACCGAGGGGTTGGAGATCGAGTCACAGTAGAGTCAAAAATTTTCTCTTTTCCAAGTCATCCGGACTGGCCCTGGGTTCCACCCAGTCTCCTTTCTAAAGGGTACCAGAGGCTCTTTCCATGGGGTTTGAAGCTGACCATTCACCTCCAGCTAGTGCCGAGGTCAAGAAAATGTGGATCTATACATCCACTCCCCTTACACCTTCATAGCAAAGTATTCATTAAGCACACGGACAGCTTTACCTTTTCACTTTAAATGTGTTCTAAGTATTTTGTTTTTTTAATTGATGTGTTCTAAATAAACTCATTGAAATAAATACACCTATCTAATTTTGTCCTAAAACCTTCATATAAAAATTGGATATGTCTTAAATTCAGGGGTGTGTTATATTCAAAGTAATATTGATTTTAGCATTCTGTTGCGGTAGTAGAATAAATAGTAGTGATTTTTCAGTTCTTCGCAGTGCTCACTTTTGTCCTGGGCAATGTGGTTTTATGCACACAATGTACATTTATGTGTTAAGTTATTTCACAACATACTTCAGTCAATGGTGTGACCATAGGGTATACATTGGTATTGTCCATGAATTTGTGAATTACTAGATTTTATGATCCATTGTTATTTATCGAAGTTTTGATGTTGTCTGATTACAGTTGAAGGTTAAAATCCACTTAATCAGTGGAGCTTGATGCTTTGATGAATGATAATGGATTGTAAAATCTAGCAGTTTACCAGCTCATGGACAGTACTAATATATTGTCTGATGGTCATGCTGTTGACTGAAACATATTGTCACTTGTAGGGGGAAGTGTGCGACATATAGATGGGTTTTGGATTAGATGATTGGGTTTATTGACACCTTATACATTCACCTTGTAACTACAGGCAATTACAGCACTATTGCTATTTCCACACTTTACAGTTCCCTGTTGTCCATGAGCTTAACTAATTAAGCACTAGGCCATGAAGTCATATGGGGAGCAGATGTGTAGATCCCGGCTGTGGGGTCCACCCAACCTCCTATTCAGTGGGTACCAGGGTCTCTTTCCCCAAGGTAAAGTGGCAGGGGCATGAAACTGACCACTCACCTCCAACTAGTGCTGAAGTAAAGAAACGTGGATCTGTACATCCACTCCCCCATGTGCCTTCATGGTATAGTACTTAATTAGTAAGCACAGGGACAATTTTACCTTTACCCTACAGTTCAGTGTTAGACACACTAATGTCCTCAGTCTGTTACACTCTCCAGTAGTTGTTTCCTGGCAACAGATTCATACTAGTCTCACTGTAACTTAAAGTCATACATGAAGTCTTCTTTGCACAGCCTAATTCCTTTCTTGTCATTATTCTCAATCACCTTCAACCGCCTACTCTCTCAATTCTAATTCTAGCTGTGTGAGATCCTCATTATATAGCCTCAGGGTGGACCTACAGAAAATGCTGCTTGCAACACCACCTGTGTTGTTGTGTGACGTCACTGTATACGTGCTTACCCAGTCTGTCCATAGCAATGACTGTATGTCTCACATTTTTTATCACAACAGTTCCTTTATTGTTGCATGTGGGCATTACCTAGCAATGGCTGTTTCTCTGGCTCCACAGTTCTTGCTTTGAGCAGATATGCCACAGCGTGTGAATGTAAGTGATAACTCCATAAAAACCACGTGACCTTGGACAGAAAGTGAGTGTTGTGAAGAGGGGTGAAGAACCACTAATATGTATGGTAGAAATTGTGTAAAAGCAGAATGGGCAATTTTAAAGCTATTTTTGGCCACTAAATAAACACTTCTTACACTTGTTTGGTGCTTCATCTAATAATTAACATGAAAGTTTATTGAATGTAGGACATACTGATGTGTGTAGTTTTCAAAGTGGCAGGAATATTAATTTCAACCATAAGAACTTGTTAGTGTGAATATTGTTGGAGTAACAAAGATGGTGCTGATCTATAAAACTGAAATCTGTAAAGAAAAGAGGCCTTTGTAATTGTATTTCAACCAGAATTAACTGTTAAGTATTCCATCCCTTCACTTTTCTCACAGGTACAGCATGTTGGTGATGCAGTTGGTGGAACTTGATTCTTTGTAATTTATTTCTCTCATTTACCAAGATTAAAGCTCTGATTGAGCTTCTGATCTTGGTTCCTGTAGTTGCTTAGGGCTTTCAGTGTTTGTGTTGTCATCTTTATGTTATACATTAACAATTTATTAAGTCTCAAACATAAGAACAGAATAATACGGTATGCACCAAAATATTCAGTACTGAAACTCGCGCATCTCGAACGTGCATGTGCTTTTGTCGACGGGGAATAGCTCCAGCCGCACGTATTTCCAGTATTGAAAAGGAAGTTGTGTTGTGCAGTTGTTGGAAATGGGTCTCTTGAAAGAGGAAAAAGTATTCATAGTTGAGTATTATTTCTGCTCATATGGAAGTGATCCCCAGACAACCCTCTTCATTTGTTTTGAGCGGCCAGATGTTATCGTCCAGAAACCGCTACATAGTACATGTGTGACGATATGATGTGTCGTCTCAGCACACAGTATATTAGGCCCTTATTTCATTGAGGATGAGGAAGGCAATGCTCTTACCATCACCCAAGAACACTACAGCGACATGGTGATTGGGCCATTTCTTCAGGATTTGAGAAGGTTCTGTCATGCAAGGGGCCTTCACATGAATAGACAGTGGTATCAACAGGACATCTTTTCATTTCAGTGCTGTAATTTTTGGCGCATACTGTATGTTGCATGGTCTTTTCTTGAGTAATGTTACTCTATGTGCAATATGAATGCTGAACTGCAAAAGTTTTACTGATGTAGTAGTTCAGTAAATTCGTTCCCTCGGATAGTTGAATACGAACAATTCATATTTTCAAACATTGCATGGACTAATAAATTGTGACATCCAATTCGTTTAACGAACGCAGAACCCAACACTTAATGAACATTTTAAAAAATTAACATTAATGAATTTAACTATATTTATTACAAAAGTAATTATTTCAAGTTAAGAACATTCAACTTAAAAACACATTTCAAAGAACACATTATGTTTGCAAGTTGGGGTATGCCTTTAATAATATATAATTACCCAGAATGCTGTAGTTTATTATAAATTTGTAATGTAATAGTAGTTACATAAATCACATCAGAATGTGTCAGTTCCGATACTAGAAATGAATGCATAGAACATTAAACTCTACTACAAATTTATTATATATATAATAATAAGCCACATTAATATATATCAGTTGAAATATGTAGAACTAATATAAATGGGAATCATCATATCTTTATGAGAAAACCAGATCCCAGAAACATGTCATTATTAAGTCATTTTAATTTTTTGCCATCTTTTCAAAATACTGAAGAAGTACGCTGTAAGGGAGTAACATATGCTGAAAGTAAAGTACAAGGAAAGGTCATTTTACCATTCCATGTGTTTTATACACAGTGTAGGGGGCAAAAATGTAATCATACTAGATTTCTAAGTTAACCTGTATAGTACAGCCATCAGGCAAGAATTTTTTCTTTCCTGAAATATATGCTTGATACCTGTTGTAACTTCAGCATTGCAGTTGATGTGCTGTGTCTAAAACTCCTTTGAGCTTGCAGCATCATCATCATCATCATCATCAGTAGCAGCAGCAGATACTGATGTAGATCATTATGTCATCTTTAGTCATTTACTATATTCAACTTTCTACATACGCTGGGAAGCCAGAATTGCCATACTGCAGAATTGATTGATTTTTATAAGATTGCTATTTGAAGTATGACATACCCTCAGAGATGTTTAAGACTGGTTACTGCTTAATATTCAGTAGTACCCAATCTGTATGTTGCCTGGGTCTGACAATCCTGATGGAACCTTAGTTTGGTAGGACTTGCTCACAGCTGCACTCTTACCAATTTCTGCTACTTTGGAAATTAGGATTCAAATCAGTGTGCAAGCAAACTGTCATAGTTACCGATGTCAGTATCTGTACATTTGGCAGCAAAATTTAGACTGCAGAATAGGATTTCATGAAACAGCGGGAGTAGCCTCATCTGCTTTGAGACAAAGCATCGTCTGCAAATATTCAATTCTCGTTTCAGTTAATGAAAATGGTGTACTTAATATATTTGTAGTGATGGAAACATTTTCTCTTTTTTACTGGTGTTGAGTAATGTTACAGCTGGTACAATTGTTTTCCATTCATTTGACTACAGATACATTAATTAAATTGCATGTAATTGTGTTTTGTAAATTCATATGTGTTTTTCCATGCTCATTTTAAAGGAGATGGGTTAGGGTATGTTGACCAGTATATGGTTTGGGAATTGATGTCTGTGTTGTGTATTATGACTCGTGAAGGGCATAGCTTTTGGTATCTCAGCTTATTATATCTAAAATGTCTTATGCAATGCTAAATTTTTTCCATGACCATGTCCCACAAAATTGTTTCATTATGCATTGTTTTCTCTTGTAACCATCATATACATTGTACTTGAAAAATCATACAACCCAGTAATGATGAAATTTTATTTGTATGAAAATATTACAGTTATGATAGTAGCAGATGTTGAAAATGACAATGTTTGGTGATGCATATAGTAAAACTTTCCTTCATGTTTGGTGTAACACAGCAAGAATTTACTAAAGTAACTTTTTAACTTAATTTCTGAATATATTCTTTCATTTCTATGTGAGAGGGCTATTTTTGTTCAGTTCTATGTAAGAAAAAATCTCCAAGTTTTGTGTTGTTAAATATGGAGGTCTGGGAGATGCAACATCAACAGTGAATTCCTGCATTTCCATATTTTGGTTTGGGATGAGGTGTTGCTTCATCCTGCCGAAACCAGCAGTCTATTTCCTCAACTTACACAGAGAAAGGAATTGCCTGACCAGTTATTGGTAGTATTTGGCATTTACAGTTTCAGTCAGAAAAAGGGGATGAAGTAATTGCATACCAGTGTGGAACTCCACACCATACATACTCAGACTTCACCTTTTAGTGAGTGTAACAGATGGTCTTGAAAAAATGGATGTTCAGCTTTTTATCCTTGACTATTTTTGGTGAATTTGCATTTTTTGTGTTGAAACTTTTAATTTCTTGCTGAGGTGCACGCATAACAACTTATGCTTGAGATGTGCATAGAAACTTGTGCAAGTCTTCCTGTGAAGTGTTCATCGTCATTGCTAGATTTTAACTGTGACCAGACTGTGTCCAGTTGCTCCACAGTGTCCAGGCCAGCTCTGGGGCCTATCCAGCCTCCGCTGGGGGTGATTTACCCAGGGGTAATGCAACCGAGGCATGAAACTGGCCACTTAACTCCAGCTAGTGCTGAAATCAAGAATGGTGGAGCTGTACCTCCATTCCCCCATATGTCTTTATGGCTTAATACTTTAATGAAGCACAGGGGGGTCAGCTTTACCTTACCTTTAGTGTTGCTCCCACATTACAGGTTTGTGTGTCTGCCATGTTATTGACAGTTGCAGGAAACTAAAAAGTATGCAGTTGGAATGGCATATAATGGCATAACATCCATACCAAATTTCATGAAAATTGGTCTAAAATGAAGAGAGAGACAGCATGATTTTATAAGTCAACTTCTGTCCTTAAAGAAGGAAAGAAGGCTAAAACCTAAAAAGTAAAATGTTATGTGCACAGTTCCAGGTTAAGCTGTAAAACAAGTGGGATTTTTTCATACTAATCATACTTAGGAGACTGTTATACTAGAAATAAGTTATGGAGCTTTGTTTCTGAATTATTTTGAACTACAGGTTTAATTTTTCAGTTGGGTATTTTGTGACATGTAATTCTACTCAGGGTGTCAGATTTTTTTTTGTGAATATATTATATTTACAAATGTCACAAAATTTTATCAGCCAAATCGCATTTTGGTGAGAATTGGACCCTCTAGACTGCTGGTTTCTGTGAAGGTCAACATATATTTATATATTTCGATATATTATTGTCTGGGTGAATGTTGAAATTTTGTATTACTACAATTCTGCCCACAAATAAGACAAAGGAAAACACACCAGCTGGTTTGTAGGTTGAATCCAAGAGACAAGATCAGCATTTACAAATGGTAGACATAATCTTGTTGTTCTGAATGTTCTGCACCCATTAACTGCAAAAACTGTAATAAAGTTCTTTACCTTATTCCAAATTACATTTTGTAATCCTGTTACTTTAGTTACACACTGAGATTCGTACAAGCCATCTGTTCTTTTCTGTGCAGCTCATCAAAAGCTCTGAAGAAAGAAGCAGCAGGGTTTTCTTCTCGAGGACCTTGTGAAGATTCGTACAACCAAGCTATATATGCAGCAGCTATTGCTGTGTCTGGAGGTGGTGGAACCATGGGGCCTTCTCCAGCTCCGCCATCCTCTCCACCTCCTGGGGGACTTGTAGGAAGGCCCATCCCCAGAATAGGAACTTGTGAGTCATCTCTGACCCCTCCTAACAATCCTACGTCTAGAACTAGTGCTGGTATGCACATTACATCACCAAGTCATGCTGATGGCTCTCATACACCACCTGCTGGAATGGGACACATGTTGCCAGAAGATCTGATGGCGGCAGGGGGAGGTGGAGAATTAATGTCTTTACAGAGACAGCTTTCTGTGTTGTCACACTCTCTCGTTAATAATTTGCCAATCAGAGCAGAGCAGCTCTTGGCTCTTCGTAATGAGAATGAGGTAAGTTTTTGTACTCCTTTTATTTGTTTCAAAATTATTTTTGTGATCCTTAGAAGCTATTAAAATTACATGAGGTGTGCTGAGTCCTCAAAAAAATATGAAGAGAATTTGTGTTGCATCATAAAAAATAAACTGGTATCTTTTATTCTCCATTCCAAAATTTTGGTGAAGATTATGTAGCTACTTATTTAGAACTGTGTAGAGAATTGTTTGGAATCCCCTATTTATTCCGAAACAGGCAGCCAGTAGCTAACAGTTAAGTAATAGTTGAAACAGTTAAAACAGGATGTTTACCTAATCAACACAGCATCAGTCATGAAAGTTGACCTGGCATCTTAAATAAATAATACTGTTAACAACCCATGAACAGGGCAGTGGACTTACTTGTGCTTAGAATAATGAACCTCTCCACTTAGAGCAGTGTATAATGTTTTATGTTTAATTTGTAACTTGCAGTAAATATATTTGTTGAAACCTGGTAAGTAGCTAAATCTGTTGTCTGAAAGGCCTAGTGTGACATACTTAATTTATTATGGCTATTTCTTAATGTACTTGTCTGTTAGTCAACAGAGTGACTAGATATGCATATTTAGTTTGGTTTTGCATCAGAAAGTCAGATATCCTACGTGGAAGTTTGTGGTTTCCTTTAGTCACTCCAGACATTTTATAGATATTATCACTAAAGAAATAGTGACTGCTTAATTCTCTATCTTTCATGTTTACCATTCATAGATCCATAACAGTGTTTGACATGTCATTCATTAGTTTCAGAATTAACTCAGCTTTCTCTTGGCTTTTCTCATGTTTAAACTAGGATTATCACATTCATTTTGAGTATTAAATACGAAGAAGGAATGGGCTTTCTATGTGTCCTGTAGGCTGATCCCCGTACGCATCAGCTGATTGAAACACTGCATTTGGAATTGAGACAAGCAGCAGCACTTGCAGCAAACAAGTTTAATAGCACATCTTCTGTGGCATCAGTCCCCCACAAACTAGATCCTAAGCAGCATGTGTTCAATCCTGAAGGTATGTAACTCTGTAATAAGTTGGGATATTCACTATTTACAGGAATCTAGTAAACATAGATGTGCTCTTGTTTTCTTCTTTAGAAGTACAAAGAAGAGAGATGTTTGATTGTTCGTAAACTGTAGTCTTCCTTCCTTTGGTATCCTGTTGTTTCTTTATGCTGCAAGGAAGAAATTGGCTTGCATGCAGTCTTGTAGTGATGACAATTTACCATCTGTTTGCAGACCATTAGAGTTGATCCCTGTACTTCATAAAAGTTGTATTGGTAAATGGGTGATGGGTCTATGACATTCTGAGTTTCCATTTGACCTTTATGATCCAAAGTGCAAATGTTGTGTACATTACAAATCACTCACAGTATATTTTAATAGCCAGCTGTCATTTTTATAGGGGATAATGTATTCTTTATGCTGAAATAAAATTTTATGAAGTCCCCCAAAATCAGGTTATTTTACAAGAAAGAGAGGAGGGAGGAAGGGGGGGGGGGGGAAACCACACATGTTATTTTGGGGGGGGTTCCATACTGATATTCAGTCTGTTAATAGAACCAATAAACCTACAATCAAAATGCATCACAAATGAAACTTATTCAGATACTATACAACCTCTCTGTTATTTCACATGTTTTCCTAACACTGTCATATAAGATTTACATGTAGGCTTTGGAGTTCCTTTGGAAAAATGGAGGCAACATGCTTTCTGACATGTGAGGGTTACATCTGTAAACATTTCACTGTAGGGTTTGCCTTAAATGAAAGTCACACAGGTTGAGGTTGTGGCAGTGTCCTGGCAAAAAATCTTCTGGCTACCCCACCAAAATCCTATATGCAGTACTCTTCTCCCCCATTCATACTACATTCCCTGCCCATCTCATCCTTCTTGGCTTGATCATTCTAATTGTGTTTGGTGAGGAGTACAAGTCATGAAGCTCCTTATTATGCAGTTTCATCCAGTCTCCTATCAGTTCATCTGTCTTCAGTCCAAATATTCTCAGCACCCTGTTCTTGAACACCCTCAGCCTATGTTCATCCCTTCATGTAAGAGACAAAGTTTCACACCCATACAGAACCACAGGCAAAATTATAGTTCTGTATTCTCTTAATTTTTTATGTTTTTATACAGCAAACAAGAAGACAAAAGGTTCTGGGCTGAATGCTAACAAACTTTATCTGAGTTCAGTGTCAGTTGACATGATAACCTAAATTTATTAATTATTATTATTATTATTATTATTATTATTGATTATTAATTATTTTTTCAGTATATTTTATCATGTTCTGTCGTATAACAAGAAATTCAGGTGGTTGCTAAGTGGCAGACATGGTATACCCATGAAGCATTTATGTTACACAGAAATAAAATGTGTAACAAGCAAGCAAAAAAAAAATATGTATTTTGTGTAAATGACATATTTGTGTAAGTAAATTAATATCATGTTTTGAAGAGTTTTGTGTTCAAATTTAGGACAAAGTTTCTAAGTAGATTATGTTTAGTGTTCATATAATTAAATAAATTCAGATATGAATTTTTGTTTCATATATGTTTAAATGCCTCAAAATTGGAAGTAATTATTTTCACTGTATAATCATCAGGCAGTTACTGTTATTCACAGGAGGTAGTTCATGGGGGCAAGGCAACAAGATGGACACTTTTGATGCCTACATGGAGTATGCGGGTGACAATGCAGTGAGCAACAATACAGGACGTGCTAAGGAGTCCACATCTCTAGCAACTGATGGGGTCCGAGCAACTCTGGCATCTTTGTTCTCACGGCATGGTCTGTCAGGTGCTGCTGGCATACTTATGCAGCCACAAATCAAGGATTCAGGTACAGTACCAGCTCCACAATCTCGCACTCCACTCCTACACTCGGGTTACAGTGGTGATGTTAAAAGTGAGCAGAAGTCTCCAGATGCTCCAGAGGGACAACCAATCACAACAACTTATAACACCGTGGAACCTAGAATAGACATCGGGGATAGTAGTAATCCTGGTGATAATGTTTCACATAGTCCTCTTACGCCAGCTGATAGGGGTGGGTATCCTCCTGTAGTAGTGACAGGAATGTTTCCACGGGGCCATGGCAGAGGATGGGGTCCACCTCCTAGACACACGTTACTTCCCAACCCTTCTCATATACATCCTAACTTGCCTCCTCCCGTTGTGGAAAGTGTTCCTCCCATTTATACTCGTCCTCCACCCCCGATTCAGCATAGGCCAATGAATCCTTGGGGTGGGGGAAGAAGTGGTGGAAAGTTCAAACCTTGGAATGCTCAAGGACACTCTACAAATAGATAGTGAAGTGGCAGAACAAACTAGTGGGCATAAACTGAATCATTCTGATAAAACTATAATTTCTGTTGATCAACAGTTGAAGACCTTTGTGTCCTCAGGTTGCGTGCAGATCAGTGAAATGTGGACGAACATAATTCCTAACTATTACCAAATATTGCATTGTATATAGAGAAACATTTATTTCAGATGATAAATTGTTGGATATCATTACAATTGTCATATTATATGTTAGAAGTATGGTTCTTTCCCCTACCAACTACATGTTCTTACCAGCTGTTTTATGGTGGTAAATGAAATCTCCAAACATGCTCTGCAGATGTCAGCAAGATATTATCAAAGTTGAATGCTGGGGTCCCATTATTCTCCCCTTTTTTTAATGTACAAGTACTTCAGCTCTCCTCATGCAAAGATTCTTATGAGGAGAATGGAAAAAACAGGATACTGTGTATAGTTTATTGTTGGCTAATAATAATGTTGTAATTACAAATTGTACATTTTAAGAGTGCATGTATTGTGTAACTGGGGTGATCATTTTAGGTTTGGAAAGTACACTGAAATTTCGGCAGACAATAGGCTAGTGAATACTAACAGCATTTTGTTTTTATTCTTAGAATGCCTGTGTTTAGTTTGACCATGGTAAACAATATGCCTCTTGTTGTCAGTGTTGTAAATGGATACAGCATGTGATCACCTTTCACTGTAAGGACTGTACCATATCTCAAACATTGTAGCCAAATCTAATTTTTTGTTTTCATATAAAAACTTAGATATGGTATTTGCAAATCACATTATTTTAAGCCTGAAACACTCATTGGTAGTAGAATGAATATACCAACATCTTATAAATTATTATTCATCCTTAATGAAATAAATAGTATATTTAATAAATTTGTTATTTCTAGCACAAACATCTTATCTGAAAAGGGAATGGTTTTTATGACAAATGTTCCCTATATTTTGTCATGGACAATTAAGTGGCAGTCAATTCAACCATGCCTCTCCATATCAGAAAATAAAGTCAAAGCATACACCCAAAGACTCAAAATGGATGCAGGAATGTACATCTACGCACAAGACTTCTTGACCAGGACAGCTAACCCCTCATTATTATACCTGTGCATGTAATGTGAACGTGAAAATACATGTATAGGATTTGAGGTTCTCACAGCGGTGGTTATGAGGTGTTCTGTATTCTGGGATATAAGACCATGTAGACCAATGAAAATCAACCAACGTTGCAGAGGAAAATGTTGCCTCCATTTTCAGGATCAAAGAATTAGCAGAGCTAGCCACCTGCTTCACACTGGTTTCTTGCTTGGCTTTGACCCTGGAAATTTAGGTGACATGTTCCTCCAAAACATCAGCTGACTTTCATTGGATCACATGGCATTAAATCCCAGGAGATAGAACTCATTGCGAAAATGCATGTCAATTTTATGTGATTCGAAAATCATTTTTCTCTGGAGTAGGTTTGTATGAATAGGTCTTTCTATTTTGTTTTGTATATTAGATCATATAGCTATAGTTGCTGACATTTCCTTTTAATTGTCTGCTACTGATTATAAATTATCTATCCAGTATCTGTTTTGTCCTTGTAGCAATTTGTTCTTAGGAATGTAATATTCTTGACATATGCTACTGTCCTTGTGGAAGGCTCAGACTGAATGAAATCCAACACTTCCTGTAGCCTCATCACTGTTACCTGGGTCCAGTCAGACCTTCCAGGCTTAAAGAAGGAGCTGTTGCCATCCCAATATTGGTTTGGGGTATAGATACTTGCTTTACAGTGATTAGACAACTAATCGGCATTTTAGATTCCTGGAATTTGGGCTGTGGGTAAGCATCATATATACAGGACCACTCCAAGAAACAGCACCAGATTTACTTGAAATAGCAATATTTATTCAACTGGTGTAGCATTTTATAAATGTTATGTATTGCTGTTGGAAGTGGAATTATCCACCGTCAGGCGACTGGAGCCTTTCTTTTCTGGTTAAATTTGCGTAATCGGTACAGTTACTGGTATTGGAGGTTCTCGTGGTAGTGAATATTAAAATGATGGTCTTCTGAAATGTGATGCCGTGTAGTTTGGTAGGTAGGCACCAGTGTTTCAGAGGAACCTACTGCCTCCATCTTCATGGTAGAAGTGTAGGAATGACTCGTATGTCCTGAAGGTGAAGGCAGTGGCTTCTTCTGAAATGGTGGTACGTGTCTACCAGATTATGTGGAATCGTATCCAAGAACTCCATATTCTTAGTACAGATTTTGATTTTGTGTTATTTTTTGGGGGGCTAATATTGAATAATGTTTCAACAGACAAATATAGGTACCCAAACATTCTGGTACATTACAGCTGTAGAAGGTTATGATTCAAATTAAGTAGGATACTCTTGGTTGCCATCACAAATACAACAGTACATGTGCTGTCATACCTTGAGTATGAATGACATGAGAGTGGGAAGAACGTTTATATCCATGTGACAGTGGCAGTGTGTTTTGCTGCTCACTTTCTGAAAGCATTCATTTTTGTCACATGATAAAAATATCAAAATAAACAGTTTAAAATCAATAACAAATTTGTACAAATTTTTATGTGTAAGGAATAGACATTAGCACAATTGTCTTTCATGCCGTAAGTTCTTTAATAGCACTAAAGTTAGCAAAGTTTTCAAATATCCCAACTTCTTTTGTGAACACAACCCTCTTGTTTGAAAAGCTATACTGAGAATGAGAAGCATATGTGTGTATCACATGGGTCCTACAGAGGAATGAGTTTTGTAGAAAGTACCCATGTATTATGTCATAAGTCTGTAAGTTCTATGCCTAAAATTATATTTTTACATCATACTGTATTAGGGTATCTAGAAATAGGCTGCTAAATTGACAAGTGAGAAGGACTAGCCTAGTTATTTTGAAACATCTGTCAAATTAATAATGTCCGTACATTTTCAAAGCAGAGCAAGTGTATTGAATTGAATATATTTTTGTTTTCTTAGTTATGGCCCTTTGAGTTCATAGAAGTGAAGTGCTGTGCATACAGCTGAGTAAATTAAAGTAAATTAAATCTTGTATTATTTGAATGAAGGTAGACATTTATTTTTATGTGTGATATGTGGAGATTTGTCCAAGTGTTACACTTTCAGTGCAATACTTCATCACTTTCAGGCTAGTCCCTTACACATAATGTTGATTTGCCTAATCATAATATTTGCCACAATGATATGGCATCAGTAAATTTTTTTTGATACAAGCTCTTAAATCCCAAGATTTTTATATTCTCTGAATTTCAGTACTTATATTTATTGTGTCAGTTAAATTTAAATGTCCTTATACTGAGGTTGAACTCTTACAGTTACTTTCTCATGATAGTTTCAGATTTCTTTCGTATACCTGAACTTACACACTTAGTATATTGTCTCTTTAATATTTTCAGTTACATATAGTGGTATCATTCTTTAATGTGGAGGTATGTTGCCAGTATGTTAATTTAATGGTTTGTCTTGTTATAGTATGATAACATGACAGTAGTTGTTAGGAAATGTTTTTAGAAAGTGAATGACATAAACTACAGTACTGTGCCTTGTGCTGCAAATCCACATCTCTAAGCTAATACATAATCATGTTTTTTCTTCTCTGGTGCAAGGCATGGTAAATTGCCTTGGTGCTTTATAATTTAGAAACGGTCATAAAATGAAAGTTGATGTTCTCTGTGAGTTATACACAGTGTGGTGATGTACTGTTTCTTGAAGAAAAAAAGAGAAAACTGGAATGAACTTTTATTCATATATATGAATTTGCTAATGTAAGTGGAAAGTGGTGTGAGTATCGGTAAGAGAAGATCAGCACATTCCTCTACAAGTCCAACCCAAATAGTCTGGTCAGTATGGTATGAAGAGCAGGTGGGTTAGGGCTTTTTGACTCACCATGTTGCTGACAGGATGTTTGACTGACATGTGGTTATTCATCTCATTTTGGTGGAAATGATTAAAATAAAATGAAGGAGCACTTAACCAGAGTTGGAAATAATTATTGTGTAATATTATAGAAACAACAATCAACTCCTGATTATCTGAGCTCATGAAAGGGATAAGATGCAGAAATATATGAAAAAGCCAAATAATTAACCATTTCTAGGTCTGTACAAGTGATTTTTATTTCAACAAATATTCTATATCACTTTTTATTTTATTTTATTTTATGAATTCTTCAGACTTCCTTCTGCAGCAGTTCATATTTTCTTTGCTGCTTTAATATCACTGTACTTAAACCCCACTGACTCATGTAGTCTAGTGAAGTGTCATCACACTGTCCGCTTTGGTTATCCTATCTCCAGGTCTGCACATTGGGAAAAGGCAGCATAGTTCTGAGAATGATGATGGGGAACTGAAAGTATACTAAACTTTTCACATTTTCCCATGTGTCACATTGGATAATGATTTATTCAATGAACTTATTTTGTTTTATATTTATAAATTTATCTTCAATAATTTGTTTATTTAACAGCATTTAACAGTGGATCAGTGGCTTACCAGTCACTACAGTTTTCATCTTGTGGTTTTCAGGTGCATTTGCAGAACATGAGATGTTCTTTTACAGTTGGGCACTTACTTTCCTTTTCCGAAAGCAAGACCCTTCCGTTATAATCCAAACACATTGGTATATAAATTTGTTCAGGTTTCAGGCTTTCTTCTAGCGTGGAGTTCCTTTACTAGCTTATGTCTGCTGAACACAGCCTACCTGCCCCCTTCACTTCCATGTGACCCTCAGCCTGTGGTACACATTGTCACAGAGACATTTGGAAAGACTTACCTGCAGCACTGCCTTCTCCCATTCCTACTGTTGCCTCAAAAGCTTCATTCCCCCAAATCCAGGCATTGGTTATTTGGTGCAAGAAAAAGATGAAGGCATAGTTCACACATTTGTAAAATTGTGTGATTATGTACAAGAAATTAAAATGCCAAGTGACATGCAGTCCCTAGCCAAATGATCAGGAGTTGGCTGTACTACATCTTTCAGCTCACCAATATCCAGCCAGAGTTCATCTTTGTGGATGTTCCACTTCTGTCTCTTGATTTCAGAAAACTGTTATGTTTTCAGTAAATACTGTGTGATTGTTGTCCAGTAGCTCTGCAGTTAAGAATTATTTTTATATTCTGTACACATTTATCATAGTGACCTGGGAGAATTGCAACCATGGATCCATTAAGACCATACACACACCTATGAATAGGTTTTCCATGTAAATCTAATGCATGGGTAATGTAGCTCTCTACACTGCATTCTCAAGTGCAGTGATGTGAGACTTTAATGGGTAGTGTAAAATTTAAAAGCTGTACATAGCTGTAGGTGTGTGACATTACATTCTATACTCTGTGTACTTGTCCTATGTAGAAAGAATGACTATTTACATATATGCTCATTTAACTGAAGATTGGAATGATAAATGTTTAAGGAATTGTATGCAGGATATAGGTTTTACAGGATCTATCCTGCTTCCCAAGTGAGAATCCAGTGTGAAGAGCTGCATTTGTCAACACTTCCTCTCTCTTCCTTTACATGAGTGATCTTGAAAACAGAAAGTTATTTACTTTAGTGCTTGGTTTATGGATATTATGGTAATCTTACACTGTGTTAGTAGGTTATAGAACCTTCTGAAATAAAACTTTTTGGTTCCATTGTGTCTCTTCTCTTCATAGTAAGAGTCACTTAAGGATCTTTAGTTTCTTCTTAAAATATTTATTTACATGTTCAGTTATGAAATGAATTGTAACTTCCAGAAATGCTGTAATAATTTATAAGACTTTTGGCATAGTTTCCTTATTTCATAAGGTAAAGCAACTGGCAGAGATACAACGATTTGCATTGATCTTAATATGACCATCATGCTACTAGTGGCCACCCCCACGTTTGTACTTTCTAATTTCCAACTGCCTATTATATCAGCATAACAGTGGGCAAAATTCTGAGTGGGAGCAACATTGGCATCATTTAATAATGGATCCTAAAAAATTGTATGGAAAATAGATCTTTGAAAAATATGTGATGTTAATTAAGATAAATAGTTTGAAGAGTATGGATCAACAATTTGGCAGCTGTACAAAATTTATATTCAGCAAATTGTGTGAGTGGAATAACTGATGAATCATTGGAGCTAGGCATATGAAGGTTTGTGTGGAACTAAATGATAAACATTAATTCAGATTATGTGTGAACTATGTGCAAAGCCTCAGCCAGACAACGGGAAAACGCCTTGCTTTCTTGTTGCCTAGTCGCCGTGTTTACAGGTGTCGCTGGGCAACACTGTCAAGAGTTGTTTACTGCTGCATAGCAACCGCGGCATCCCCCGCCACGTCACCGCGGGGGAGGGGGGGGGCGGAGGGTTGACTGGCCTGTTACCGTAGTAGCGACAGCACCTGATGTTGTTACGTCACCGCTGGCGGGGAGGGGATGTCCTCCATAGTGCAATACATTACAATATTAAAACTTAACAAATATGGTGATAATGTAAATGTTTATGGTTAGGTTGGAAAAGTTGAACTTTGTTGGAAGCTGTACTATTGGAAATTATGCACAGATGTGGGTCACAGAATAGTATTATTAATCTGTAATTCTTGCTAGTAACTGAATTATTTTAATCAAAGTATGTGTAAGTTCTTCCCAGAACTCCTTGATTCTAAAGGGTATGGTCAGAGGCTGTAGTCTCTGAACTTGAATGTACAGAATTTTGTTATATGCAGAAATTAGCATTTCATGCTTTACACAAAAGTGAATAGTCTTTCTTTTAAGGACTGTGAACTTACTGGTTTGGAGTTGAACTTTGTTTCTTATTCAGGGGGGAGTATACCCATGGAAGGTTCAATTTTATCTTACTGTCCTTTCTTAGGAGATTATAATTCTGTCTACATACATCCCCCCCCCCTTTAACTTTGCAACCACATAACTGATTGTCATGAATATTGGTATGGACATTATGAGGTCACCCTAACCTTTTATGTTTCAGTTTTGTACAATCAATAACAGCATGGTGGATATGTAAACTTAAGAAATGTTTGAAAAGTATGCTGCTTTTCATGAGGTACAGTCTTTGTATAGTGTAAAATAAGGTGGCAGTGGTTCAGAACTTTCAGTTTGATGGAAAACCATTGGAGTTAAACTCTGAAAAATTTTCTGTGGAGATACATTATAAACAGACCCATTAACTGTGTAGGAAAAACTGTAAACTGATAATTGCATACATGGAGAAGGTGCAGTAGTTTGAAGTTATATCCAGTTAATTTAATGTGGACACAGTATGTTTAAATAGCAAATTCTTCCCAAATAATGGTAACATCATCATCATACTTTCAAATGTTTGCAGTTGCAAGTAATAATAAAAGAATATAATGGCCTGAGTGAGACCAGGATATTCACTTCCATTCAGTATTGTGGACATGTTGGCCACCCTGTGTCATATGGTACACAGCCCACATGAACAGATTGTTTCCCAATCCAGAATCATTTGACCACTAATAGTATGGCTAATGCCAAAAGAGACATTTCAAAGACTATAAGAGAGACATAGGAAGAGAGGATATTCTGGTGCTGACAGTGTCTTCTATCAGAGAAATGGAGGGTCCACTGCCTGCCAAGATGGATGAAGCACAAGAAGTGGCAGCTGTTAGAGGACAGAGCTGTGGCCATTTATAACAAACGCAAGGTTGATGTTGACCATAACATCTGGGAACTGCTAAATTACAGCTCATGTCATTGTCAGGTGAAATGCTAGAAGAGATTCATGCAAGCCATTTTGAACCAGCATCTACAGTTGAACATAGGAGGAATCATAAGGATGTGCATATATCATTGCAGTGAAAACAACAGAACTTCAACATAATGTTGAAGCACAGCTGGGCCTTTTGCAGGAAGGTGACTGTTTAGTAATGGCAACCAACCTCCCTTTGACTCCTGGCTGTGTAGGACATAGAGGCCATTCTTCTATTGTGTGCATCTAAAGAACAGGAACTGGTGCTGTTGAAGATACGCACTAGTTTGTTAAGTGCAATGTCAGACTGTGCACTGGAATGCCTAGAGACATTCAACAAATAAATATTTTAACAATGAATCTGTACATTCTAAAAATTATGGTGATGAAGTTCAAATAGATTGATGTAGCTGTAACACTCAGAATTTGTGTTTGGGCAGTGTTCGATTCAAATTTTGACCAAGGCACAGGCAATCCGGGCAGGTCTGTGGTTTTCCTCAGTCCCTCCAGGCAGATGTCAGTACAGTCACCTTGACTGGGCTATTTCCACTTCCACATCCTGTCCAATTCATTATTGACCAGTCATCATACCATTCAACTCTATGGAGCATGAGATATTGACACTGCCATAAAATAGAAAAAAATAATATAACGCTGTCAAAATGGGAATGGAAGTAAACAGGACGTGTAGGATTTGGCACACCTGAACATTGAGCGAACAGCCATGGATTTTTAGTTATTGAACTGTGGTGGACTGACTTCACAAATACCCTACATATATTTGGGGATCTGAAACAGGTAAGTTGTAACTGCATTGAACAGCCTATAGAAAGTATTGACGTGATTGTGATAAATCACACTAAAGAATTCAAATGTGGAAAATACTGGGTAATTTGTAAGTCCCTCTGGAAACCCCTACAATAATGTATAATCACAGTACCCCTTGTTGACATGTATTTGCTCTACAGAGTGATTCTAAATTATTGTCGGGGTTTCTGGCGGGACTTGCCGATTATCCTATATACATTCCAGATTGATGGCAGGAATTTCATTTATCTTCTTGGGCCTAGAGTTCTTGGCCGAATCTATAAAACACTAATCAATATTAAATACTGCGAGAAATATTTTATTGCAAAATTTTGCATTTGATTTTTCCACTTGATGCAAAATAATTATGAATTAAATCAAAACTACCCTAATTCTACTCTGATTATAGGGGCCTGAAATTGTTTTTATATCTTAAATTCTGGAATGATATTGGAAGTTATTAATGA